TTTTGCTACCACACATGGTATGCTTATTCAATGGCTTTTACAACAAAGCCCTATACCTCCGGATATGCTGCGCTCCTATATCACTTTAATACCCAAACCAGAGGAAGACCATGCTATTTGCACCAACTACAGGCCAATAGCCTTATTGAATTCAGATTTGAAAATATTCACAAAATTACTTTCTATGTTTGAACAAGGTTATTCCATCGCTAATACATAAAGATCAGGTGGGCTGTGTCCCGTTCCACCAGGCAGGCAACAATACCAGACGGGTGATCGACTTAGTTGATGTAGCCAACAGGGATAAACACCCTGCGCTTTTGCCAAGCTTAGACGCCGAAAAACTGTTTGATTGCCTCAGTTTGCCCTTTCCTTTTGCAACCCTCGCTCATGTGGGCTTTCCTTGGCTTTGTGTTTGGGATCATTGTCTTGCTGAAATGTCCACCCTCGTTTCATCTTCATCATTCTGGTGGCAGCAGATTTTTATCAAGAATGTCTTAGTACACTTTTTCATTCATCCTTCTGCCAATGATATGAGGCTTGCCAGTAATGTATGCTGAAAAACAGCTGTACACCATGATGTTCCCACCTCTAAACTTCACTGTTGGTATGGTGACCTCCAAACATGGTGTGTATTGTGGCATCTAAAGAATTACTTTTTGGTCTTATCTGACCAGACTATATTCTCCCAGTACTTCACAGGCTTGTCTAAATGTTGTGCTGCAAACTTTAAATGAGCTTCAACATGCTTTTTCTTCAGCAATGGAGTCTTGCATAGTGAGCATACATACAGGCCATATCGTTGAGTGCATTACTTATTGTTTTCTTTGAAACAGTTGTACCTGCTAATTCCAGGTCTTTCTGAAGCTCTCCACAAGTGGTCCGTGGCTCTTGGACAACACTTATTTTCAATTATTTTCACTCCTCTGTCTAAAATCTTGCGCGGAGCACCTGGTCGTGGATGGTTTATGGTGAAATGCTGTTCTTTTTACTTCCGGATTATGGCCCCAACAGTACTCACTGGAACATTCAATCCTTCTGTAATCAATTCCATCAGTATGTTTTGCAACAATAAGGTTGCAAAGGTCTTGAGAGAGCTCTTTGCTTTTACCCATTGTGTTTGTTATTATAGCTAATATTGCAGTATATTACATCCATCCATCAATATTGTCAAAGCTCAGATATTTACTAATTAATTATAATAACTGACAAATAGTACATAATTTTATAACAAATAGGGGGATTCCAGAAAACCACCCCCTTAATATTTATTTCACCTATCGTGAGATGTTTTTTGTAATGAGACACCTTTTTATAGGCCATCAGTTGAGACTGAGACAGCTGATATTAATTTACACTGACAAGGGGCAGGATTACTTTCTAATTACTTGTAGAATTCATCTGGTGTGTTGGCTTTCCATGCCTTTTTGCACCTCCCTTTATTCTTGTGTTCAATACTTTTTCCCTGCATCGTTACATTTTATTACAAGTAACTTAATTTCTGAATTTATTTTTTTGGTTTGTTTGTATGTATAGGTTGCATGGGTTGTTACCAACATGTGGTGAAAATTTCATGTCAATCGCGACATGATGGGGAATTGGAATTTCCATGTTTATTGACCTAATACCACGCAGCACAAATGAGACCCCTTGCTTCATGGTCCACTTTGTATGCCTACAAAAGATGGACAGAGGTGGAAAAGCTTTGGTTGGCCCCTTTTCACCCAAATAGCCTTTTATGGAGTGCAACTGTATCAGTGCCTCCTGATAGACTCCTGTGCACCATGTCCTTCCTCCATAATTTATGGAATATGCTTATGCAACGGTATACCTTAATATCCACTGCTTCTCTGATGACCTCTTTCACCTACAATCCCGAAGTGTCAGATAGTTTGTCCTCTAATGATATCTCCTTGATTACGACTGCAACTATTTAAATTTCGACAGCTAGTAGACTTAGTCACCTGTAAATTGCTCTCTTTCGAACAATTGCAATCTAGATATTACATACCATCTACAGCTCGCTATGGTTATCTCATAAGACATTATGCCCACTCCATGACTCATACACTGCAGTTTTCCAAACCTACGCCCTTTGAAAGACTTTTAGCAGAAAGCCCCTCTCGGAAAGGCCTAATCTCAGATGCCTATATTGTGTTGAATGCCTTCCCCTATCAGACGTTAGGCAAATACACCTACGTGCTTAGGTGGGAAAAATGTCTGAGGGATGAGATTACTCTAGAAACCTGGCAAGTTATTTGGTGCCAAGCTGCCAAAGCTCCATCTGTACAATATACAAAGAACATTTTTACAAATGACTTTACTTTTGGTATCTCACCCCAGAATTTTGTACACTATGCGTCCCACAGCCAGTGACTGGTGTTGAGACTGCAATAGAGCTAAAGGTTCCCTTATTCACATTTACTGGGCTTGTCCTCAAATTGTGCATTTCACCAAATGATACAACTGTTTGACTCCACTTTCTCTTTTACCCATAAATTATTTTTGGTGGGTCTGCTATCTCAAAATCTCCTCAAACCAGATAAAAAGCTGTTGAGACATATCCTAACAGCTGCTAAATGTTTAATAGCTCTTAACTGGATGAAGAGTTTGCATCTATCTCACTATGCTAGAATTAGAGATATGGAAATATGGAATTGTTGGCTGCTCACTTGGGGGAAGATTTTGTAGAGACATAATCAAGTTTGGGAGCTTTGGCACTCACAAGAAGTTCTGACTTAGTGAATCCGTGGGTTTCCTCCTGTTTATTTGCACCTTGGTCTGGTTGGCGGGCCTGGCCCCTGGAGAGACACGAACTTCCCTCTCATCTTTTTTTTATCTCTTGACTTGTTTTTTCTTTTCTTTTTACCCTTTTCTTTCTCTTCTTTGTATTCATGCTGTTTAGGTTGGTTGCATAGTTGAAATATTGGTCATTTGATCTTTTACTGTCACTTGGAAGTCTTAAGCCGCATTTAGTGGGTATTAAGCATATCAACCTTTATTTGAAATATTTACATGTAATTTCTCCACTGCTTATCAAATGCCAATATTTGATATGCTTCATAAGTGGTAGTTGCTTCCAAAACTCATAATATTTGTGTAATATGCGTTGAATGCTTTCTTTCTGAGAATGCTAAGATTTTCTCTGAGCTATGTCAACAATGCTGTCATACATGTTCTTTCTAAGAACGTCTGTACTCTGTATTATCAATGAAAATGTTTAACAAAAAATGTTATTTTTTAAGAAAAAAAAAAAAGCCTGACAGGTGTTCTAATCCCTTTCTGAGCTACCCAAAACTAGAAAAAAAATGTTGCCTTTAGTTATTTTTAATGCTTCATGGCCAGTTTTACAATATTTATGAGCTTGACATTTATACACATGGAGCCCAATCTGTCTGCATTTTTCTGTGGTATAAACAATTGATAGCTTCTGCTTTTTTCTTCACTTTCTCCACCTCTGTCTGCAACTGATTGTATTATTAGACAACTTCCATAATTTATAAAGTGAGTTGAAGCAAAGAATTATAATAATTTTTGGGGCCCCATAGTGGGATTAAAATTCCATTTAATAATAATGCAGCAGCAGGCACTCAAAATGCATTGAAGAACCACAAACCAAGACCAACAGTGATTTTTAGGTATACCTATTTTGCATATTTTTATAAACACATCCCTATTTAAAGAAACTTGTCACAGGTAAGGACAATTGAAACACTGCACAAGATCACAGATGCATAGGTAGAAGTTACCTTCAGTGAAAACTGCATATCAAGGCAATCTGTACTTACAGCGTTGTATTCAAATTAGCGTGTATAGAGGCTGTCATTTCTGACCTCCCCATTTTAAAAAAAAAGACAGGATTTAGTGTTTTCAGAAGCAGGTCAGCAACAGTCACTTCCACATTTATCACAGCACTGTACAGCTTGGCTCCATACCTCAAGAGCCCCCACATTGGTCTATTAATGTGAAGGGTTTCAAGGTCCAACTGGAAGGCCTTGTCAACTGCGAGACTCTACACAGCCCAAGCTCTTTGACACTGTGAGTTACTTAGAGTTGGAAAGCCAGTGTGTGGTCAGACAGTTGGCAAATCAACATCTGTCAGATTTAAGTTGGCTTTTGACTATTGCTACTCAACCAAAGTTGAGGCAAAAAAAAAATAAGCTTAATATGTAGATATGTAATCTTTTAAAAATAAGACTGCAATTATTTTGATGTAAGTGGTTGGCTTGAGAGTCCTCCCTAAAAGTATCTTTTGGAGCATAACTCTTCCTTAAAGTGGTTATAAACCCTTACATATACCTAGTGAAGTGACTAGCCTCAAGTGATACACAAACCTACATAAATTTTATCTCTTTATCTACAGCCATCTGTCCCCTACATCCATTGAAAGGGAAGAATTTACACAGGATCTTCCAGCTCATTAAAGCTGGGGGCAGGGAGCTGAAGTTACACTCAGGGAGGAGAGCTCTGAAAGTTGATTGGAGGGAAGGGACACACACCAATAAAATGCTATGCCCTCCCTGTCACCATTTTTCGTGTCAGGAAAACGTGTCAGAAGTGACTCATGCAGATAGCAGAGGAATGAGGCAGCAGACAGAAATGACACTTAGTGCTCTGGGTAGAGACAAGTATAGAGGGATATGCTTTTTTCATATTCATGTCTGAGGTTTACAACCACTTTAAAGTGAATTTTTCATATAATATATGATCTACCACTTCTCACTTGTGCAAGTCCTACGGTTGTCACTACTGGATGACAGCCCTGAAGCTTTCATTTATAAAAAAAATTCAGCAGTGGTGGCTGCCATTATTTTATCTTTGCATGTTTTCTTCAGAAGAGAGTCACTGTTATATCCATTTATGACACATTCTGGACAAGAAAGGGCAGTATATTGGTTAAGAAGCAAGTGTTTTTTTTATATTATTTTTGTATTGTCAGTTCCCACTTTTCATCATTAGACCTTTTTATGGTATTCATGCTTTTCCCTTTGCTATTACAGAATAGATCGTAAAATGTCAAGCACTCATACCAACTATAAGTTAGACGAGGCTCAAGCTATAATGAATGAACTGCGAACTATACGACAAGCTATTTGTATGGGAGAGAAGGAGAGGCGTGATCTCATGCAGGTAGGTTATTGGTTGCTCCTGCCAAGCACTGGTATGTTAAAATATGTGAATTGTGAGGGTTTTTTTCACAGGCACCTTACTAATAATAAAAAACTGGATCTTTTGCTGATGGTTGCCATAGAAGTGTTGACCTCCCTGCTTTGCTTTTCTACTGATCTAGAACAGCCTTTCTCAACCTTTTTAATATAGAGGAGCCCTTGAAATAATTTTCATGTCTTTGGGAACCTCTACTAAACTATCATATTTTTAGTTCACAGCACATTTGCATGGTCAGTTAGTTATACATATAATAATACATAAAAGAATAAATAATTTAGTGTATCTAGCATTCGAGACTGAGAGCAGGTAGTTTGTTTTAACACTCCCCTTGGTAGGCATTGAAAAGGGCCTTCTTTTATTCTTTGTTGGTGTAGTGGTACCATATATTGGTGGCCAATAGGAGAAGAATCCCATATATTAAAGTGGTAGTAACCTCTTTTTTTAATATTGTGCCTACAAGTAAGCTTACACTCAGGCTTACCTGTAGGTACAATGAATATCACCTAAACCTACACCGTTTAGGAGACATTCACAACGTCAATAGCCAATGATGTCACCCATGCATGTGCAGTGACACTCTACAATCAGGCACACAGTATTCAGTAGAATGCAGAGCACAGTGCTGCAGCTGGTGACGTCATTGTGGCCTTGGCTATTCAAACAGTTGGAGCCTGCAAACCCAGAAGGAAGACAAAGGTGAAGGTGGAAGCACAGGGGAAGCGCTGGACAGCTCAGTTTGCAGGTAAGTCTGCAAGCACATTATGGGATAAACCTGCAGGAAAACCTGCTTTGTCAGTGGGAGACTCCCATTTGGTTGACCAGTGGGAAAACTGTCCCCCTTACACACAGCTTGAAAGATAATTGATATTAGTGGTTATTGGGAGTTAGAAACTGTTCATTGTTCAAGGATTGACAGTCTTCCATAATCCCAGCAGTTGTCATACACAAACGGCTATTGTGGCCGGCTCCCCTCTTCTGTCTTGCCTTCCACAGGAAACAGGGAGAGGAGCCTTTAGTCGAGTGGATTACATCTAATGGCATTACATCTAATAGCATCTAAAGGTGGATTCTCACAGTGTGATGAGCTTGGTGTCATTAAGGGAGCATTCAAGTGCATTATGTGTCATTTTATCTTTGCTTAATAAAGAAGTTTATTGCACTGCTAGGGCATGGTCTGTTGTTTTTTTTGTTTAGATTGTCCACAGTCCATGTTTTGACAATTCAAGGAATGGGTGCAGCACTGGTTCAGAGCTTTTTTTTTGATGGTCACACCTGAGCACAAGAGTGGGATTAATGGTTATCTGATTAATAAAAAAAAATTATTTTTGTGATTAAACAGCGGGTTGGTACCATAGAAAATTATTATCCTGATAGTTTAAAATCATCATTATTCTATTCGAAATTAAAATTCAAAATAATGAACCATTTCTTTTCATTGTCACCCATGACCGATTACAAAATCACTTAAGTGGCCCGTGCACTTCGAAAGGTTGCGCACCCCTGTCCTAAAGCAGAGGAATATTCCTTTTACAGAAAAAGCTTTAAAAAAGCATAATAATGCCATATGGTATTTTGATACCTTATAAACGGTTGGTTGGTTGGTTTCAGACCGCACTTTATATTTTGCTCTTTACTTTGCTTTATTGAAGAAGCTTGTTTGTGTGATTTGTGTTACCCCTTTCAAAAGCAGTGTGGATGGAAATATCAGTATTAAGAACCATTGTTTCCCTGTAGCCACCAACCAGCTTTGGACTTTCAAATTCCAACTATCATTTCCCAGAGAAATGTGATGCCTTAGTATAAGGAACAATTTATATTGGGTGTAACAATTTATTTGAAATGTCCTATGACCCTAGAGGATTTCAGTAGTGGTTTGTGTAAGTTATACAAATTCCAACATCTGACACGTTAGAGTTACAGGCTTAAATTTCATCTAGCTTTTACAAACTAGCACCAGAGTCAAAAATTTCAATTTGTTCTAGTTCTGGAGACTGGAGAGGATTTTCCCAGAGGCTTCTAGCGGTCCCTTGAGCAAATAACTATTTCTCTTGCTCAGTAACCATTGATATGAATGATCTTTTACCTGTCAGTGGGAGGGTCAGGTACTGGATCTGGACCTGGTACCTTTCAGGGTCAGGTACTGAACCACTACGCTGACCACCATTGTAAGAAGGAGCTTTTCCACTGACCAGCAATGCAAGGGGGGTTTTTCCAGCGAACACTAATATAAGGGTGCACTACATTTTTCCTCCGTGTTTTTTTCTGGCCAATATTACTATTTGTTTAATTTCATGATTATTACTGAAAATAGTTTTGTGTGTTAGAGTAGGGGAGGAAAGCGAGTTAAAAAGAATCTGCTCTAAGTGCCAGATATTCTAAGCATGCCACATTCTTTATTACATTTACAACTGATTATGCTGATGCACTATGCACTGTATATGTAATAAATTAGCAGGGGTTTGCCTGAGACATGAAAATCATTTCAAGGGTTCCTTAGTGTTAAAAAGGTTGGGAAAGGCTGGTATAACCTGTGGAGTCAGGGCCTACTGTCTATCCCCATGTGTTTTACACCAACCGTGTTCTGAAACCCATTTGTTAGATCATGAAGATGTAGATAATAAAGTTATATAATATTTAATTGTGTGTAATAACTAATTTGAATATATATACAGTATGTATAATAAATTTCCCATATAGAACAAACAATATAATGAACTGAAAATTCACCTAAATATGGATTTACACTAATTAGAAAAATGTATGATTTAAATATATCTCTTTTCAGCAATGGGACTGTTTTCTTAAACTTAAATTAAATATTGCATTTATAATATTTAATATACTATTTAATTGTATTAAATTAATTTAGAAATGCAAAAATACACTACCATTTTTTGGTTCTGACTGTAATTCTTTAGAAGGAGCCGTTCAAGAATGGACATTGCTAATAATGTGAATCAACTTCCCTAAGGCTGAACTCCACGGTGAAAAAAAGTAATGTTCGTTATGTCTAGGGGTGATAGGAATAAGATTATATAGTTGATATAAGTTGAATAAAGACACCAGTCTATCCAGTTCAACCTATGTGGTTGTGTGTGTGTGTTCACGTCAAAAATCATATCCCTGTATATTGTGTTCGCTGAGATGCCTATCTAAGAGGTTTTTTTTTTTAAACTTTAAATACTTCCCGCAGCTGACAGCATCGATTGTGGAAACGAGTTCCACATCCTTACCGCTCTGAAAAAAACATTCTGCAGTTTTAGGTTCAACGGCTTCCAATGTCATTAAGTGGCCCTGTGTCTTCTTATATTCCCTGAGACTGAATAGTTTATTCCCTATGTTAGAATCATCACTGAGGTATTTGTATTTCGCTGTCATATCTCCTCTCAAGCGTCTCTTCTCAAGAGAGAATAAGTTTAAAGTTTTTAGTCTTTCCTCGTAACTGAAATCCTCCAGTCCCCTTATTAATTTTGTTGCCTGTCTCTGGACTCATTCCAGCTCAAGCACATCCTTCCTGAGGACTGGTGACCAGAACTGGATGGCATACTCCAGATGTGGCCGAACCAGAGTTTTATAAAGTGGCAGCATTATAGTTTTATCTCTGGAGTAAATACACTTTTTCATGCATGCTAATATTCTGCTAGCTTTGTTTGCTGCAGCTAGGCATTTGCATGCCATTGATGATCCTGTCCTCTACTAGGACCCCCATATCTTTTTCCATCCCGGATTCTCCCAGAGGTTCTCCCTAGTGTGTAACTTGCATTCATATTTTTAGCCCCCAAGTGCATTACCTTACATTTTTCAACAATAAACCTCATTTGTCATGTATTTGCCCACTCTTTTGTTTTATTGAGGTCTTCTTGTAAAGTATCTATATCCTGCTGTGACATTATTGCCCTACTTAACTTTGTATCATTATTAAACACTGAGATTGAGATATTTTTACCAACCTCTATATCATTTATGAAAAAAATTAAAAAGAATTGGTCCCAGGACAAAGCCCTGGGTTACCCCACTTACCACTGCAGACCAGTCTGAATACACGCTATTAATCATTGCCCTTTGGATGCACCTCTGTAACCAGTTCTTTATCCATGTACAAACCCTCTGGTCCTTCCCTGTAGACCTCAGCTTGTAAATTAAGCGCCTATGGGGAACTGTATCGAATGCTTTTGCAAAATCCAGGTACACCACATCCACCACCCTTTCTTTATCTATATGGCAGCTCACTTCCTCATAGAGTGTTAACCTGTTGGTTTAGCAAGAACGACCTTACGTAAAGCTATGCTAATTACTGCTAATGATACTGTTTGCAGCAAAATCTTGGGTATAGTCCCTTACCACCACCCTCCAATAATTTACATACAATCCGTGTTAGACTGACTGTCCTGTAGTTTCCAGGATTGTATGTGCCCTTTTTTAAATATTGGTACCACGTTTGCCCTTCACCAAATCAGCTGGTACCATTCCTGTTGGTATGCTGTCCGTAAAAATTAGGAATAATGGCCTGGCTATAATTTGACTGAGTTCTCTGAGGATTGTTTGGTGTAAGCCACCTGGTCCTGGTGATTTATTTGCATTTTTCTGACATTTTTGGATGCCGACTTCTGTAAGCCACAAAGGTACATTCTGTGATGCTTTACTAATGATGCAATCTTGACTACTGTACCCCTCCTCAGTAAAAACTGAGGAGAAGAATATATTTACTACAGTTGCCTTCTCCTTGTCAATTGTAACCAACTTTCCTTCGTCATCCATTCTGGGGCCAATATGTTCTGAACTTGTTTTTTTTACTATTAATATATTTAAAGAATTTGGGGGGATTTTTTTTACTCTCCTCTGCTATGTGTTTTTTGTGGTCTATCTTAGCCATCCTGATTGCATTCTTACATTTTTTTATTGCATTCCTTGTAGTGCTGGAATGCTGACAATGACAATTTAAAGGCCATTTTTTTCTCTTT